TCTACTATGGAACCCAAAAATTACAGTACCATTAGAATTATTTTAAAAAAGGAACATGGTGAAAAAATTGCTCCTTACATTTTCAAAATAAATGATACTTGGACACTGGAAGCTTATCTAAGAAAAGAAAGGATTACTTATGAAATTTATCAAGAGGAAAGAATTTTCAAAAGAGTATTAGAGAATTCTAGTAAAGAATTAAGAAAAAAAAGAAAACTGGCAGAATAAAAACTAATACAAATAATTACTTTATTTTCAACTTTGTTAATTTTTAATTACCTTTTATTTTCAAGCAAGGTCATTTTTTAGTTTCTTTAACTTCAATTTGTGCAATTAGTTGAGTCTGCTGTCTCTTTAACTGTTCAACTTCACTTTCAAGTCTTTGAATTTTATCTAATAATTCTTGCTTTTGCTTATTATGTCAATCCTTTGAAACTTCTAAGGCTTCCAAATGAGAACTGATTTCTTCCTTAGCACTGGATAGTTGCTGTTTTAAGTCTTTATTCTGCTGTTCCAATCTGCCAACATAACTCTGTGCCATTATTTCTGTTATGGTTGGGGTTTTGACTGGTTCATCTTTCCTTAAATCACAAAAACAATCTATCCTGTTTCTCATAATTCTACCACAATCATTACAATGTGGCAAAGTATTATCATCAAGAGCTTTTTTACACTCAACACAAATATAAGCAATGTCATTGTAATCATTATTGCTTGTATTGTAAGATACTATTTTGTAAGTAGCAGTTAAACTCCTTTCTCTTTCAAAAGGACAGAAATTACAATGCCATTTATCTCCTCTCCCTCAGCTCATTAACTTGGTATTCTAATTTCATGCTATTTATTCTTTTGCAAGATATAGGTTTCAAATTTTTCTCAAGTTATTTCTTTTACTTGGCTAACTTTGTTCTTTACTTTGTTAGTTAGGAGTTTAAATTTGTTTTCTTTCTTTGGTAAAACTGGTAGTTCTTGAAGCTGCTTGTCTGCCAAATATTTCTGTCATGCCACAATATTTTCTAAAACTTCTATTTTTCTCAAAGCTTTTTCTAAGTTGACATCTTTTTCTTTACTTTGTCTTATTCTGCTACTTCAAGAGCCTCTAAATGACATTCAGATTTTTCCACTTCTAGTTCTAATGCTTCTTCCAACTCTTGATTAATTTGCTGTAACTCAACAACCTTTTTTTCTAAAAGAGCATCCTTTTCTTTTAATTCTTCTTTTTCTTGATAAGTAAAACCAAAAGCTTCTTCATAATTTAATGCTTCATGACCAAAACTTTTAACAATGTTTTCAGGAGTGAATTTGTTGCTAAAAACAACTCTTCCAATTTCAATTCTGGATAACTTAACCATTGTCAACTCAAGTAAATCTTTTTAAGGTTCTTAAACTTGTTCCAGTATATTCTGAACTTTCAGTAAGACTGTGAACTGCATTTCAGATTTTTAGCTTAAAGTTTTCTTCTTTTTCAGCTAATTGCTTTTTCAATAATTCTATTTCATTTATTAGTGTTTTATTTGCTTGTTGTTGTTCATTTATTATGTTTTTCATGATTTACTTGCTTGTTCCTTTTTTTATTTATTTAATATACTTATATCCTTTTTATAAGGGTATGTTAAGTCTATAAATTATTTTAGTACTTTTTTACTTTAAAAGTGGAAAAAGCTAACAATATTAATCAAAAGATTAAATTTATTAAACTTGATAACAGCAAGGAAGTGATGAAGTAATGAAGGTAATTTTATTCTAAATATTTTAATCATTTCTGGTATAGAATGGTCTGGGCAAGTAATATCTTTGTATTCATCTTTCACAAATGGATGAATATTATGATAAAGATATTCTTGTCTCTTATAATCTAAAGGAGGGGGTGTTAACACTAAAATAGATAAAGCTTTAACCTCTTCAAAAACATCTGCTTTCTTGGTTTTCAATAAATTGAATTCAGTAAAAGGACCATTAGCAACTTCTTGAACTTTTACTGTACCAAGATTAGATGCTTCAAAAAGAAAATGTTGACATTTTTGTATATGGTGCGAATCATCTAAAGACATCACGTGCTGCGCCACTTGCCGAAAATTTTTATGCTGATCTTGCTTTATAAGAATCCAATAAATCCAAATTTGTAAAAGATCTGCGACTTTGCCACGTGAATAATTGGTAAAATTGTGAAAATAATCTGTAAATTGCAGTTTAGATATATACAGTGTTCGAAATTCGACTGCGCCTTTAAATAAACTAATCTAATTTTAGAAATTATCTGCGGTTAATTTCCATATTTGGTTAGTGCGCGCAGATTCCGCCGATTGAATTTCGAACAGTGGATATACAGTGGTGTGCAAAAAAAATGACAATTTTTAAAATTATTATAGTTTCACAACCATCACACCAATTTAACTGT